TCAAACTTTACAAGGAAATTTGGATTTAAATAGTCCAAGAAAATTATCTACCAGAGACAACTGGCTCTGTAGAAAGGAGATTACAGGATGCATGTGCGGATTGCTTGGATCTCAAGCTTGATTGTATTTTAGAGATTTTATCTTCTACTCATTCTTCCACAGGAATTCTTATGCAGAGAAAAGATAATATCTTAGACTGGATAATTTTAGCACATGAACAAAGTAAGAAATTAAAAATCTATATAGAAAAGGGTTCTAATTTAATTGTGAAAGGAAGAATAAGACTTCATCAATTATCAAGAACAGACCCAGCAGAGAGTATAGTTCTTTATACAAATGCTGAAATTACCTCATTATGGGTAATCAATGAAGATTGGCGAAGAGCTTTCAGTAATTTTTTTTTGTGAGAAATTAACAAACATTACCTCCAAAGCAAACAACTTCAGTTTATAAAAAGAATGAGTTGCTCATATAGTAAGAGGGACACCAATTTCTAAAGCTCCTACCTTTAATACAGATGCCAATAAATTTGGAATGACAGGCTGTAAGTCAGGAAATATAAGTAAAGCAATTCAAAGTCCACATGTTCAGTTCAAATATCAGAACTATATGCTGTTCTCATGGTTCTATTAGATTTTTCAAGAATCCCTTAATATAGTTACGGACTCTACTGACTCTCAATATGCAGATAGAGTTGTTTTACATGTAGAAGCTGCTAAACTTATTCCAACTGATTCAGAACTAATTTGTTATTTATACAACTACATATTTATACAACCCATATTTAGTCTCATGTGGGTTTGCCAGGCCCATTGGCACTAGGAAATGAGAAGATAGATAGATAATTAATAGGCAATATATTAGAAGCTTCAAAATTTTATAAATTTTCACATAATGTAAATTGTAGATTCTTAAATAAAGAATTTCTGTAGCCTGGCAACAAGCCAAGGAAATTTTTAAAAAATGTCTTCTGTGTTCATTGTGTAATCAAGCTCCATTACATGCTGGAAGTAAAGATTGGTTGGTGTCCCTGTTGCTCCACTGGGGTTTCTGCCTGGCTACAGGAGACGACCTCTTTAGGTTCCATATCCTCAATGCTATGAGTCACAGATAAAGTTACCCGCATTGATTCTTGGGCACCTCCCTATTCTAGGTCTCTGTCATGGCAGATGGAGGGAGGGGACTGGGTGGGAAAGGGAATGGGCAGAGGAATGGGGGAGGTTCAGGATCAGGTGTGGGGAGGAACAGTAGAGATGACCAGGTGATCATGAGAGTGAATGGAAATCTGTAACTGATGGGAATGGAGAGGTGGGGGACATCTCCAGGAACTCTCTGTTTATTCTTGTATCTCCTTTTAGACTAATCACCTAGTCTCAAATATTTTTTTTTTATTTATATGGATTTTTTTATGTAATGACACAAATTTAAGGTTATATTTGCTACAATATACTGTACGTGATTCAATTCTGGTTTAGACTATACTATGCTTAGAACATTTTATATAGAATGTCTATGATGATGAAGCTTAAAATTATTAAGATCTACTCAGGTTAAGTCCCTTATACTTCAAAATGTTGGAGCATCTGATTTTCAGCCTTCTGGCTCAGGATCATCTGACAGACCCAGTAATGCAGAATTTTTAAGGGCTGATCACTCTGTCTTGGCAGATATAATCAATGGACTATTCTGCAAGTGTGTCCTTTTTCTGGACAGTAATTTGTCTGTAGATGAAATTAGGCAAATCTTGCCTAGTGGCTGTCTCGCCACAACTGGAGTAACTCTGAAGATGCTTAATTTCTTCTTAGAATCCAAGACAGGGAGGCTATCAGCAACAGACAGGTCTCTAATCAAATGAACATTAATACAGAAATGTTTGTAACATCAATTCTGTGGACTTCTGAAGTTTTTGAAAACCAACTATCTATGTAAAGCAATCTGGACTGCTGTCCATTAAATCCTCTCAGCTATTTCCAATTAAAATCTAGAAAACACCCTAACAATAAACCCAGAGTCATGAATTTGTTATTAGGCTCTTAACTTACAGGCTAACTGTCTCAGACCAGTTTAAAAAAAAAGTTAAAGAAGGACTGGGTCTAAGCCCTGTACCCACCAATTTTGACTTAATAGAAGAAAATATACCAATGAAACCCTTGAATTTGAAATCAAAATAAATTTTATACCATTTAAGAAATTATAATTTCAGCAGCCAGGCAGTGGTGGCACACACCTTTAATCTCAGCACTTGGGAGGCAGAGGCAGGTGGATTTCTGAGTTTGATGCCAGCCTAGTCTATGGAGTGAGTTCCAGGATAGCCAGGGCTACACAGAGAAACTCTGTCTTGGAAAAAACAAAAAATAAAAGACAAAACAAAAACAAACAAACAAACAAACAAACAAAAAAAGAAATTATAACTTCAGCTTAGTAACAATTATACAGATTTCTACCAAATAGATTATGGCTATGTAATCAATTCTAACTATCTCTTCCTGTTCCAACAAAACCATTACTTTTCCCTAGAAGGACAGCCTAATATTAACCACCTTAGTCCCTATGCCAAGGGAATAGGGGTACCAACTCTTTATTAACTTCTTCAAGCTGAATATGGGCATTGAGATATTAGAAGAGGAGTGGGGGAAAGGGTAAATTGATAAACCTCTGATGTCTGTGTCTTCACTGCATCCACCTGAAATTCCAGGACATCAGAGGTTTGAGTAGGTTTGCTCAGCTTGCTTGATGAGTAGATACACCAAGGCTGTGTATTCTGCAATATACAATTCTCAAAACTAATTTTAGAATCAAGATAATTTTTTGTTTGAATTCTGGAATCTAGACTTCTGGAGACCTATCTCTGTCATGTCTGATCCATATAATTCTGGGAGGTAGAAATACCTTAATCATCTCTTCTGAAAACACACAGACAAAACCTTTTCCCCAAAACAGAATATCCTTAAGTCAGTAACCAGAAAAACCTTTATCCTGACCTCTTTCCCAGAGGAAAAATATAATCACAAAACTGAAAATCACACCCATCTTGAAAATAAAATCAATTTAATAACTAAAGTACTATATGTGCCTAGTCTTAGGCCTTTCCTATTTTGTCAAGCAGGAAATGAACCCAGAATTCCCATGAGGCCCATGTTAGACAGAACCTGAGTCTCCCGTGAGGCAATATAACTTTATATCATCTGAATACACCTGGTTTACACTATCTTTCTGTTCGGCTCTCTGTCAGAACAGTTTTTTATTTACACCAGCTATCTGTTCGGCTCTCTACTCCAGAACAGCCTCTATACACTGTACTCTCTACTCTAAAGTCAGTGTCAATTTCTCTATCTTAGTTCCAAACTACAGTCGAAAATTCCCACATGAATCCGATAAAACTGTTTCTAAATCTATCTTAAAAACAAATAATCTCAATTTTAATTCAGAGTTCAAATCTCTCTGCCCTAGAAGTAAGCTACTTCCTCCTATTCTTAACAAAAAGCAACCTGTGTTTTTCTACAGCAGGGGACATCAGCCTGTGGTTTCTTTGTTTAGTTCCTGTTCTAGGAGTCAAGTGACTTGTCTCAGCGCTTATTCACTCACTTTCTATAAAAAAAAAAAAAAATTTTTTTAAAACATTTTTTTGTTTGTTTGTTTTGTTTTTTGTTTTTGTTTTTTTGAGACAGGGTTTCTCTGTGTAGCCCTGGCTATCCTGGAACTCACTCTGTAGACCAGGCTGGCCTTGAACTCAGAAATCCACCTGCCTCTGCCTCCCAAGTGCTGGGATTAGAGGCGTGCACCACCACCACCCGGCAAAATACAACTTTTACTCTCAGGTGAAATAGACTTAAATTTCTAGTGAGTTTGTGCCCCATGATGGGTACCACTTTGTTGCAGTAATATTTTAATAATGGCAGCACCCGATCTTGCTTGTTCTTAATTAGATGCCATCTTTCCAACTAGACAAGGCCTGTGGCCTCGAGCTGCAGAGGCGTATTCTCACTGCTGCTTGGCTCAGGCCGCTGGCTCAGTCCACCAGCTCAGGAGGCCAGAGACACCAGCCCTGTCACCCACGAGACACCAGCGTGGGAGATGGCTCTGCCAATATTCCACACTGTCTCCACAAGGTTGGGCTGAGCCAAGACCATCCCACCATCCATGCAGTACCTTGTAGAAATGAGACTCTAATGTTTAATGGTTATCCAAAAGCTTTATATGTTTGATAATACTCAATTAACAAGATGCTCACACAATTAGAGGTGTGTCCCAATATCTAACCTTAAGATATAAATTGTTACCCAGGACTACTCTCAATACATGCATGGTCATCCACGGCTCCTATATCTCTTTCTCCCTCGCCTTGCTCCCCCTCTTCCTTCTCTTCCTCTCCTTACTCCTCCTACCTTAGCTCCTCCCAACTTTTGGGGAAAATTTACCACTACAATGTATTACTGGCTACTTATGTCTTTGCTAAGTTGCTCAATACCAAGCTGCTCAAAAATTCAGAGAAGTAACAAGATGTTTGATAAATAAAGTATTTTTAAATCTAGATTCTTTATCTTTAATCAAGATTCATAAACTCCTAAGGTCCACTCAGGTTCACAGTAATATTTGTCTAGAAGAACTGATACAATTAATTACAGTGATAAGCTTTATTAAGCCTTTTGTTTACATATTCAAAGTACATAGCTAAAAACAAGCAATGTTTGTTTAGATATATTTTAGGTAGATAGGTGAGTCTCAAACACTTCAGAGATGTGCAGAACATGGAATTTTAAATGTTTCAATAAAAACACCTTTTCTAATAGACATTTCAGCTATTGGCAGCACCCCTAATCTCCTACAAACAAGATGATGGACCCAGAAGAACCTTCACCTAGAAATGTGGCAAAGCTGGCCATTGGGCAAAAGACTGCCCTTTACCTCAACTGACGACAGCACACGGTTTCAACTATGGACAAGCAGAATACTGGGGAGTTGCTTGCCTCACTTTGCTATACAAGATAGACTAGTTCCCCCCTAAGTTCCTGTTTCACAGGAAAGTCTGTCAGATCTTTTAGGCCTGGTGGCCAAAGACTGATGTCCCCACCAGCCACAGAAGAACCTAGGATGACTGTCAAGGTAGCTGGTAAGTCTGTCATTTTTAATAGATTTGGAAGCTGCTTGCTCTGTGCTTCATGCTTATTCAGGTAAAATTTATTCTTATGTATCTGATGCATTTAAAGACTAAACTAATGAAAGAATTATCAATTAAACAGCAGAAACTAAGGCTTTAGCTGCCTTCTCAATTCCCTTCAAGTATAAAAGTCAGACCACAGGCTTCACTCGCTAAGAGGGGCTACTACTAGGTATATACACAGTCTGTCTTGTTAACCAGCTTATGTATGGTCTGAAAATAAGGAAGTTTAACTTGTGAGGGTCTGAGAAAATGTTTTAGAGTCTAGGAAGCTATTTTAAGATTGGTAAATGCAAGTTATGATGGTTGAAGAATGTGAAAGCTTAAATAATGATAAGAAAGTGCTTTAAGGTCTATAAAAGGAACGGGAAATGTTCCAGATTCCTTTCTTTGCTCTGCTTGTGTTTAGACTTCTGAAGTTCAGAGCTTTACCATTAACAATGGAGTTCTGCTGGTGTTGGAGGCTGGGAGGATAGGATGAATGGGGAGAAGAAAGATTTGGGGAGAAAAATCTTTGTAACTCATTAGGGATGGGGTCAGGAGGAAAGAGAGACTGAGGTAGGTTTTCTGCTATAGATCTGGGGATGAGATTGGGGGTGGGAGGGTTGGGACTGGAGCAGCAGTAGGAGAGGTGTGGATCCACCTTCAGTCTACTTGTTGCCCTGCCCAGAATGCCCTTGATAACACAATAGAGGGTGTCTGCAGGTCGATGACTGGGATAAAGCATCAAGTTGGAAGAGGGATAGAAGCAGAAGATCTGTGGGATTCACAGGAGATGTGAGCAGGTGGCAGGGAAGGCTGTCACAGGTTTTCTACTGTGGAACTGGGCATGAGACTGGGGGATTGGATCTTGGGGAACAGAGAAGAGAGAAGATCTGCAGACAGCCTATGTCTTAAATCCAAATCTATTGACGGCCGATCTTTAGGAATAGCTGTAGGCGTAGGTAAAGCAGGCTGTAAAGCTCCCATTAGCCACATGGTGGCATTAACATTTCCTAAAACAACTAACAATCTCCATCCTTTTACCAGATATCTCTTTAATTAAAAAAAAAAATAGAGGGAGAAAAAAATCCAGAAAGAAAAAGAGCTTGTTGATAAAAGTCTTTCCTCCAAAGATTACATGAGTAACACAAGGTTGGTAGAACAGCCATTTGTGACAACTGGACATTGTAACTTTGTAACACTTTATTTTCTGTCATTATGGCAACTGGACTATGCATTGTAACTTTGTAGCACTTTACTGGGCTATGCATTTAACTTTGTAGTACTGTATTTACTGTCATTACAGCTCCTAGCTCCTAATCCTATCAGGGTTGAATTTACCTCTATAACAGACCATTCAGATAGCCATTCTTCTATCGTTATTGTTGTTCGATGTGCAGCTCACGACAGATCACACCAGGCCAAACAGTTCCATGTGAGGTTTATTCAGGAGATAAGGGCAAAGGTGATGGCAAGAACGGGGGGCGGGGGGAAGAAAGAGAGAGAGATCAGGGTGCTCTGCCTATTTATATGGATAGTGATGTAGCCTCTCAAAGCTAAAGGTGGGAGGTGAGCCAAGTGGATTCTGGGAATGTGTGGTGATTGTCACCTAGATGTGATGTCACTGGGTTTGGAGCCTGATACCAACAGTCATAACAGAGACATCAGGTGCAGACTCAATCAACCCTGTAAAGTTTATCTATAACCCAAATCCTCCCTCATGAATGCTTGGATTCATGAATGAAAGACACACACACATCAGCTTATTTTTTCATATGTCCTAAGCGGGGCAATGGTTGGGCACTTCCAAACCTCCCCAAGGCTAGCACACTCTCCCCTCCTTTATTTCTGAGTTGACACTTACTAAATCTATATTTTATCTTTGTGGGCAGTCCCCTGGGATCGTTTTCCCCTTGCACCTACATTTCGGCCATCTCACCCTCCTGCAGTTTTCCAGTGTGGTCTGTCTTACACCCTTCTTATCGAGGTTTCTCTTCTCCCTCTCCTGTGTTTCTTGCCTGGGAATCTAAAAGTCTCACCTATGTCTCCCTGCTCAGCCATTGGCTACTGGCAACTTTATTTCCTAATCAGGGCCAATTGGCACCAGGCAGGCTTCCTTTAGCCTATGTGCAGGACAATGTACACAGGTTTTTGGGTAACATCATTGGTATGAGAACACAAGCCGATACATTTTCAGCTTCACTGGGAACTCTAGAGAACGTGTCTATCCCTAGTGCTCTGATGTCACGTCTAAGTTGCAAAGCTTCTAAGAAGTACAAGCTTATACTAAGGCGGGGGTGGTGGCGGTGGTGATGGCAGTGGTGGTGTCCTAGGGCCAAGACCAGAGATGGAGAGGCATTACTCAAGATACCCTAGGGGTAGGACCAGAGATGAGGAAACATTCAGATGTTCTCTAGCTGCAGAGACTATGAGGGGTGATGGTCCAGCTAGTCCCAGAGGCCCAACTGGGTGCTGCAGTTCAGGGCTGAGCATCCAAGGAGCGGCTCACCATGGTACAGAGCCTCTTGGGAGGTGGTCCTGTTCCTTGGGGAGCTCAGCCATGTGGAGGGGCCTGTATTTGGGCAGAAGCTCATCCTTGGGGCTGGTTTGCTCTCAGAGCTTGTGCAGCTGCAGCTGCTTCTGCTGCTCAGGGCTCACGTGGGTTCCATACGGCAATGCCTGTGAGCTCTCTCATCGCCTGGAATTTCATTTCGCTGATATCCAGGTCCCGGTGGGCATTGAGGTTGTCCATAACACACTCATGACGTTGTAAACCAATGGTAAGAAGGAATTCTCTTCCTTCATGGGGACAAAGGAGGGAGGCCTCCGTGAGGGTGGCAATAAGGGACACGGCAACATGCTTCTGCTTGGACCCAGGCAGCTTTTGGGTAGCAGCAAAATATTTTTGGCCTGTGGCCCACACACTACCCCCATGGAGGCCGTGACACAGGGTACTGAGAGCTGAGCGGAAGGAAGGACTGAGGAGCTAGCAGCTTGTTGATTTTGAGACAGGCCTGGAAATCCCTATGTGGTCAAGGGTGATCTTGAACTTCTGATCCTGCTTCCCTCCCCTCCTTAGCGCTGAGATGACCGACACCAGCTTCCACTGTGCTTAGGGCTCATCTATAGCCCTGGTCTTCCTGGAACTTGCTATGTTTGAGGCTGGCCTCAAACTTACAGTGACCTACTCGGTCTCTGTCTTTCAAGTGTTGGGATTAAAGATTCATGTCACCAGGCCCAGCTCGAATTCCCAACTGAATCACAAGTATAGAAAGTAAGCCTCATCAGGTAAAGGTCCTTGCCACTGAGTCTGAGGACCTGAGTCCAGTCACTGGGATCTGCGTGGTGGAAGGACAGAGCTGACCTCCACACATGTGCCACCGCTTGCTGAGGCCAGAGATCCTGTGGAACAGAGTTATAGGTTGTGAGCCTCTAGACACGGCGCTGGGAACAGAACCCAGATCCTCTGGGAGAGCAGCCAGTGCTATTCACCACTAGTTAGCGTCAACTCCACACATTTCTCTTCTTAGGGGAAGAATGCATTTCTCAGTGAATAAAGTCTTCCTCCCCACCCACCCACCCACCCCGAAAATCACATGACCAGCCGGTCTTGCGGTATTCAGGAGTCTCCTGTTCATTTTGATCTTGACATTTTTATCTTTATTGTCACTTGAAAATCCCGCAATGACTTCACTGTTTGTTGTACCCTCACCCAACCTCACCCCGTCTCACCCCACTCCATCCCTCCCTGACAGTCATTTCCCTTTGCAGGGTGTCTTTATCTGCTTTTGAAGGGTCAGGGTCAGCATCCACCGGTATGATCAATTTGTTTATTTCAGGGCTGGGAATGGAATTCAGAGCTTTGGACAAGCCAGACAAGTGCTCGACCACTGAGATGCTACCTTCACCATCATCACCATCATCACCATCATCACCATCATCACCATCATCACCATCATCACCATCATCACCCGTCGCTCTGAGACTCTAAGGTGCTGGTGATGAAAAGACCCGAGGTTTTGATCTGGAATGACAGATCGATGAACTTATTAGTTACAAAGGGGGTGATTGCTCTAGCAAGTGCCATAGGTGCTGGTGTATGGCTGCCATGCAGGGATGACCATGTGTTGATGGCTATGATTGGCATTTCTGAAAAATGAATCTGCGGGCTGCCCGTCTGGAGGGCAGTGTGCAGTTATGGTTTGCAGTGGGATGCCTACCCGTCCCTGAAGGAGATCACAGTTGCTCTGGTGTCCATCAGTTAACCCGAATGTATCGGTAGAGTCAGCCAAGCAGGTTGTGTCTAGTTACCCTGACAAGGGTGACCACAAGAGGAAATTAAATTCAGCGTGTTGAGGAACTGAAATGTTATGAAGTGTTGGAAACCGTGTCAGAGGTGACAAATTCCTGTTTCTGAAGTGAGAAAGCTGGTCTTGTGTTTGAGATGGATGTTGGGGCAGGGCAGGAGCTGACTACAGTTATTCTCACTAAAATTTTCTGAGGCCGAGAGCAAGCAGATAGGCTTGTCCCGGCCACCTCAGCACGGAGGATGGGCAAACCAAAAGTCTGCCTGGGTTACACTGCAAAACCTCTGAATAAAAACTAACAAAACTATCGTTTGTGTGATTGAAAAGGTTAATTGCTTCAGTGGTGCCTTTAAATCCAGCACTAGGGAATCAGAGGCAGGTACATCTCTGTGATTTCTGTGGTAGCCTGGTCTACAGAGTGACTTCCAGAACTGCCAGAGCTACATAGAGAGACTGTGCAAAAACAAACAAAAACAAACAAGCAAACAAACAATAACTGAAACAAAAAAAATCAACCAGTCAAAACACAGAACAGAAAGTGTTAGGATTGGTCTTGGGCGCTATGTATCCAGAAGCTGAGCTCTGTACTCCAAGATCAGGTGACAGTCCGGATGTGGGCATTGTAATAATGTCCACTGTACTGTAAAGAATGCTCGCCAATTATCTCTGTCTGGTTAATAAAAAGCTGGAGCCTATGACAGGGCAGAGGAGATAGGATGGCAGCATGTGTGTCGGAGTACGTCCGAGCATGGGCATTGGGTTGTATGTGTGGAATGTAGTGTGTGTGTGTGTGTGTGTGTGTAGGGGAATGAAGTGTGTGTGTGTGTAGGAGAATGGAGTGTGTGTGTCTGTGTGTCTGTGTGTGTCTGTGTGCAGGGGAGTAAAGTGTGTGTGTGTGTGTGTATGAAGAATGTAGTGTGTGGGTGGGAATGTAGTATGTTTGTGTGTGTGTGTCTGTGGGGGAATATAGTGTGTGTGTGTCTGTGTGTGTCTGTGGGAGAATGTAGTGTGTGTGTGTGTGTAATGTGTCTCAGGTAGGGACTACAAGGGAGAAAGGAGAGAAGGTCACCCTGAGGCAGGATGCATCATGGGCAAGTGACCAAGAGAAGTTTGCCCTGAGGACAGACAGATAGCAGAAGCAGCCCAGGCTGGACGGTGGCAAGTAACTCAGGGCCCATGGCTGGAAAATAGCAAAATCGCACAGGGGGCTAAAAATATATGAATATCTGCCAGGTTCTAGGGCTTTAAAGCTTGTTGAAAAGGTCCGACAGGTCCCTGTCCCAATTACTCAGGAACTAATTGGCTGGGGGTGATTCTACACTCCCCACCCCCAAAATTACTAAAATAAAAAAAAAAATAATTTTCAGAGAAAAGGAAACTGAGGTTCCTAGAGGTTTAACTGAGGTTTGAGCACTGGTCCCCTAAACTCTCCTACTGACGTCAGCAGGCCAGGGTGGCCAGTGACAGTGCCGTACCTCCCAGGAATGGGCTCACGTCCTGTTGTGAAACTTTCCAGAGAGTCTGGGTACAGGGTGTCTTAAAGCTGTCCCAGCAGCCCACAGAAGCAGTTGGAGTTCAGCTTGAAAGATGAGGAAGGCTGGGTTCTGGGGACTGCTGTGGGTGTTCTTTGTCTCAGGTAAGGAAGGCGGGAGGTGGGAGCAAGTAGCTGTTCGTGTGTGTGTGTGTGTGTGTGTATGTGTGTGTGTGCACTCGTGTGTGCGTCACAGGTTGGCATTGGGTGCCTTCCTCATTTTCCCCCTTGAGACAGGGTTTTTCTGTGTAGCTCTGGCTGTCCTGGAACTCACTCCGTAGACCAGGCTGGCCTTGAACTCAGAAATCCACCTGTTTCTGCCTCCCAAGTGCTGTTACTAAAGGTGTGAACCGCCACTACCCAGCTCTTTCTTCTTTTTTTGGTCTAGACCAGGCTGGACCTCTATCGAGCCCTGCTTCTCTGCTTCTGATTACTGACATTAAAAGTATTCATTGCTACACCTGGATTTATATTGTTCCTGAGATTTTCATTGAGCCTGGAGTTAGCTTGTTTGTTAGGCCAGCTGGCCAGTATTCCCCGAGGACCTGCTTGTGTCTCCCTTCCTGCTGCTGGAACAGATGTGTGCACTGCTGTACTAGGCATTTCACATGTGCATTAGAGATCAAACTCAGGTCTTCATGCCTACACAGCAAGCACTTTGCCAACTAAGGGGTCTCTCTAAGCCCTTGATGCTCTCTCCCACTGAAGCGCTGAAGCCATGGTTCTCAACCTGTGGGTCCCGACCCCTAGGCTAGGGGTCGAATGAGCTTTCCACAGGCATCTCTCCTAAGACCACCATTGGAAAATAGAAATTTACATTACAGTTCATACCAGTAGCAAAATTACAGTTATAAAGTAGCAACTAAGTAATTTTATCATTGGTGGTCACCACCACTTAATGAACTGCATGAAAGGGTGGCAACCTTAGGAAGGTTGAGAACTATTGTTCTAAAGCATACGGCCGTCAAACACAGGGCCACAGACTGCTCACTTGGGACCAAGCTTCACCTGAGCTCAGACAATCAGACCCTGAGCCCAATGAGCAGAGATAGAGGAGGGTGAGTTAGGGAGGCAGGTGCTCTATGCTTGGGTTTTTTTTTCTGGCTATATTCTTTAAAAAATAATTTTTATTTTATATGTGTAAGTGTTTGCATGCATGTATGTATGTATCACATACATATCTCATACCTGAGGAGGCCAGAAGGTAGCATCAGATTCCCGTGGAACTGGAGCTGTGAGATGCCACACAGATGCTGAGATGCTGAGAACCAAACCTTGGTCCTCTGCAAGAGCAGCAAATGCTCTTAATTGCTTTTTATTTTTCAGTCCTGAGGATGGGATCCAGGACCTCCTGTCTGCCAGGCAGTTGCTTCCCAGACTCTGTGCATTTTGATGTCAGAGACATACAGATCCTTCAATGGGCACAATGACTGAGTAGGACAGGGTCACACTTTATAACCCAGTTGTCTTTGAACTGGTGGTCCTCCTGCCTCAGCTTCTTGTGTATTCTGATTACAGATGGCACTACTAAGCCAGCAGATCCAGCCAATCCACGTGTGGCATGAGCTGAATAACATATGTGTGTTTTTGAGATAGAGTCTCTCTGTGGATCCCTGGCTGACCTGGAACTGTCTATGTAGATCAGGCTAGCCTCAAACTCACCTAGTGATCATTCTGGCTCTGTCTCCCTAATGCTGAATTAAAGATGTGTGGGCCCATTATGTCCAGCCACATGAATATTATTTCATGTTGAAATGTTTTTTCTTCTACTCCCCCCTGGTGCTTTAGATGTAGACAGTCCATTAGATCTCAAAGATGTAATTCATTTAAAGGATATTTCCCAGGGTTACCTTGGGCCAGCAAATCTTCTAATCTGCTAGATTAAAAGCCAAAAGTATGAACAGAAGGCTCCTCATGGAGGTTGTGATCCCAGCTCTTCAGCGAACGCTGAAGCTCTCACATGTGCTGATCGAGGCTGGCCCAGCCCTCAGCCCTGTGGCTTCATCTGTAACATTTCAGTGAGTCAGGACTTCCGTGATGACAACTCAGGGTGGAGTCCACGTGTCTGTCACGAAGGGTGCCTCAGACATCCTGTGATGAAATGACCAAAATGGATTCAACAAAGCCCTGGGCCTCTGCTGGCCTGTCTGTGCAGATGTGGACTTTCTGCTACCCTCTGCTTCTCTTAACACTTTTATATTTTTCTGAGACAGGACCTCACGTAGCCCAGGCTGACCTCAAATTTATTATGTAGCTGAGGGTTATCTAGAACTTTTTCCTGATGAGCCTACTTCGACCTCCCCAGTTCTGAGATTACTGGTGGCAGCATCACAGTGGGGATGGGGGGATGCCGGGAAGCCTGTTGACAAGGATTCCTTAGAGATCTAACTGGCCTTTGAGCCAGGCTCACCTCCAGAATCCCCCATGGGGGCTTGAGCTGAGTCTTACCAAGGCCAGATGAGGGTGGAGCAAGCCTTCTGGAGCCTGACATCCTGTGTGGGCAGGCAAGGGCTCGACTAAAGTGGTAAGTCTTGGCCTGTGTGGGTGGTACATGGCAGCAGGAGTCTGTGCATGCGTGCATGGTGTGTGCATGTGTGCATGGTATGTGCATGTGTGCTTGTGCATGAGTGTATATGTGTGTGCATTGCAAGTGTATATGTGTGTCTGTGTGTGAAAGTGTGTGCACGTGTACATATGTGTGTACATGTGCACATGTGCGTGCATGCTTGCGCTTGAGTGTGTGTACATGTATGCATGTATGTGTGTATGTGTGCATGTGATTATGTATATGTGTGTGTAGGTGCACGTGTTCATGGTGTATGCATGTGTGCATGTGTGCATGTGTGCTTGAGTGCATGTGTGAGTGTGCATTTCGAGTGTGTATGTATGTTCATGTGTGTGTACATATACATGTGTGTGTACATGTGCTTACTTACAAGTGTGAGTGTATGCATGTGCATATGTACATGTGTGTGCATGTGTACATGTGTGTGTGTGTATATATGTGCATGTGTGCATGCATGCTTGTGCTTGAGTGCATGTGTGAGTGTGTTCATGTGTGTATCTGCATGCATGTGTCCATGTGCGTGTGTGTGTGTGTGCGTGTGTGTGTGTGTGTGTTCTTGTGTGGAAGTTGTAGTAAGAACAACAGCAGAAGTCTGGGGAAGTGAAAGGCCAACTCACTGATCTGGCATTCAGTCAGTGCCTTTGTTGGAGAATGATGTCCAGACATTCATGTTTCTGTTTATAACAACTGAAATTGTTTTCCAACACCTGCCCCCAGTGGAGGACACCTGACACTCAGTGGAGGGGGACACCTGACATCTAGTGAGGGACACTTGACAACCAATGGGGGACACCTGATACTTGGGGGGGGGGCACCTGACACCCAGTGGGGGGGACTCCTGACACCCAAAGGGAGGGGTCTTACACCTAGTCAAAAACATGGCTGTGATTGATTTATTGCCTTAGGTACCAGGGAATCCAGCTGTGCTGACTTGCAAACACAGCTAGGGCCACAACTCAGTTGTTAGTCCCTCCCCGCCTCCAGTTTCCATCTGCCTGTCTGGCTCATTCTCAGGCAGCAATTCCTATAGCAATGGAATTTCACACCCTGCAGACCATCAACCTCGACATAAGGGTTTGAACAGTCACAGAGCAGGTTTTGATTGGCTCGTCCTAGTCTCACACCCATTCCTAAACCAATCTGTGGCCAGGGTTTTAGGGTTGCTTTGATCCGTTAAGCCTCCTCATGGATATGTCCTTGAGACAGCAGACGGGCACATCAGCTGACCCATAGAGGATGGCTGGCAATGCTGAGAAAGGGGAGAGCGCTTTGTTACTCAAAGAAGGGAGGAAATGATGCCCCAAGGGTGGAATTCTCATCCATCATGCCCGGGGTGCCTTATTTTACTTCTTTTTCTTGATGCTTTCTTGGTGTCTCCTGAATGGATAGTCTCTGTCCTGACTGAGATAGAGCCACCCAAACTTCCTAGGCATCATTTTGTGCTTGGAGAATGTCTTTGTATCCAGTCTTTACCTTGGAAAGTGCCTTTCCACAGGGTTTCTCTCCCATCATGCACTGGTCATTCCTGTGTCCAGTCAGGCGGTTTCATCTCTCTAAAGGGTCATTCAGAGCTAGTGAAGTGCTGCCACACAAGCGTGAGGGCACGAGTTTGATCCGCAGAAGCCACGTAAAAAAGCCAGGCACATTGCTAATCCTGGCACTAGGGTGTCAGAAAGAGCTGGACCCCTGAGACTCACTGAGCAGACGACAGCCCCGTCCAGTTCCATGTAAAAAAAAGACCTTGGGAAAAAGAGACAGCTAAATGATAGTATTGTGAGGTTCGATCAATACCTGAGGTTGGCCCCTGGGCAGGACAGGAATATGCACATGCACACACACACACAATAGCACATACTCACAAAAGCGTTATTTTTCAAGTTTGATTTCCAGGGACCACAAATTATTAGCTCTTGTACTAAAACAAACAGCAAAGAATTCCTTCCCAGTGGAGAGTTTGGACAGACATCATTCTCTCCAGAACCTGTTTCTCTTTTTTCTGTTTATAGAAGTCCAAGCTGCCATTGTCCCAGATGAAGAAAGGTATGACCTAGTTGAGGGCCAGACCTTGACAGTGAGCTGTCCTTTCAACATCATGAAGTATGCCAGCAGCCGGAAGGCTTGGCAGAAGCTACCAGCTGGGAAGGAACCTTTGACTCTGGTGGTCACAGAGAGGTCCTCTACAAGACCCAGTGAAGTCCACAAGGGGAAGTACATCCTGAAAGATGACCCTACTGAAGCCATGTTACTTGTTCAAATGACTGACCTTCAAGTGACAGACTCTGGATTGTATCGTTGTGTGATTTATCATCCACCCAACGACCCTGTTCTGCTCTTCCATCCTGTCCACCTGGTGGTGACCAAGGGTGAGTGACCATGAAGTGTGTGGGGAGAGGATAGAGAGAGGTGGGCCAGACATGAATGGAGACACTGTACATTGTGAAGGTGTGTCTCTGTATATTCAAGTGTTATTTCTGTACAGATCTGAATATTGGCAGGATTCTGGTATTGGTGTTTCTATGGTCCATTACCAGGTTTTCCATTTTGTAAATATCCAGCTCTTTCTCACCTGTCTAAGGGAGTCTAGAATGGTATCCAATTGGCTGCAATAAATAACTGACAGCCAATAGCTAGACAGAAAGTGGAGGGTGGAAATTCTGGAGAGAGAGAGGGATGGTGGGAGGAGAAATTAGGTGCAGGAGATTCTCCAGGGACACAGAGGTGGACGGTTGGACCAGAGTGGAGTAGAGAGGTAGAGCTGCCCACATGGCCAGGATTGGTCGATGTAAGTGTACCTCACCATCGAGTGGTGGGAGGGGCCGGGGAGGTTGTGCTCAGACTTACATTGGCTATATTCTATCCTCCAGGCAAGGTTCTAGTTTCTACAGCTGGGGTTGGGACATTGCCAGTTTCTTGCTTAGTGCCGGGCAGTCCCTCCTCCAGAGGGGGTTCTCTCTGGTACCTCAGAGTCCTTCTAGAGGGAGGGAAGCTCCCTGATTCCCCCGTGACTGCATATGTGACTGACCTATGGATCTTCCAGGATCTCTGCAGAGCAGTGTGGCAGCCGTCTGCCTTCAGAGGGTAGCACACTTCCCTACATGCTGTTCATTGGAGGCTTATCTCAGCCCTCCAATGAACAGGAGACTTTTAAGTTTGCCTATTTAAAAATCGCCCATCAAGCCTCTCCATGGCAACCCTGGCTGTTTGGCAGATCTTCCTAGGAGACCATGGATGCCTTGCAGGTTTTCCTGTTTCCGTATCCAGGTAGATGTGCATAGTGGGTTGCCACATTCTCTTTCTCATCCTAACAATCTCACAATGCTTAAAGAAATTAGCTGAATCTCACTGCCATTTAATCTGTGGATATGAATTGCATTGTTGGCAGGCAGAGCCTTTTTGTTAGGATTCATAGGGAGATCTATAATAAACCAAGGTCAGCCTCTTCATCCACCAGGCTTAATGAAGCCAGCTCGCTCTCCAGCGCTCTTTCCACCCATCTCCTCCCTGCCTACCTCTACTCATGCCTGTAGGACTAAATCCCCACATTTTCCGGTCTCTTTCCTGATCCAGGAAACCATTCAGACTCCCACCCATAAAAAACCATGCTACTGGGATGGTCTTCTGGGGATGAACTTTGCCACCCATGGGTGTTGTTTCTTCGGTTTTATTGACTCAGTGGCTGTAGGATCCAGTCTGAGCAGGATAACAAGAGAGACACTACTGCCCATAGCTGCTTTGTTGACCATAGCTACTCTGCCATCCACAGCTGCTTGGCTGTCCATAGGTACTCTGCTGAGAAGAACTTCTCAGATCGTAACCAACCAGCTGTGAAGAGAAATGGCTGGTGGGAGTGTGACCTCAAAGAGAGAACCAGGGGATCAGAAATAATAATGATAATAATAATTAATAATAATCAACACACACACACAAAAGTTGGCTTCAAGAGGCCTTGTACAAACTATGTTTTATGCCAAGCAAGTTGATTAAGAAATACAGTATCAGTTGGGCATGGTAACTCTCACCATTATTTCCAGTATTGGCGAGGAAGAGGCAGCCCTATGAGTTTAAGACCAGCCTGGTTTATATAGGGGGCTCTAGGATAGCCAGAACTACGTAGTAAGATTTTGTCTCAAATCAACCAACCAACCAACCAACCAACCAACCAACCAACCAACCAACCCACCATCCAAGAAACAAGCAGTACAGCATCTTCTATGTGATTTGCAGGGGAAACATGGGACAGCATCAGCAGAAATCTATTATACAACGAGGCAAAGTCAGCAGGAATCTAATCAAACGATATTGCACAAAGCAAATACAGGAAGGCTCAAGTGTGCCTTTGACCTAGTGCTCATCAGCCACGGAACTGTCAACTCCAGTCTTCTCAGTAGGGATTCCCAAGTTGCCAGGAACCAAAATCTTAAGTCCTTCAAGGCTTTGACCTGAGCCTCAGATCAAACCTTGCCAAAATTGCTCCTGGGCAAGAACACAGAACTTGCATTCCCTGTGTCTTTTTATCGAGGCCTCTAAGAAAGTCTAAGATCAGTCTGACTCCCAGGAGAATGGGATGGGGGTTGGGTGACTGGCTGCATGAGATTGTTCCCTTACCTGGGGGTAACTGTAGTCACTCTGTCCATATCTTAGGCAGGGATGGTTCTAATCCTCTATGCTAGATTAAAGTTAACTAGTCTCAGGAGACTTTAAACTAGTCTGTCGTCTTGTAGGCATGCTGGCTGCTGGCTGCTGGCCACACGATAAGTAAACAGGCTGAGTGCTGTGTGCCAACTAAGCTGCATAGGAGGTCTTGGAGGTGGTAAAAGTGATGGGTGTAGTGTCATAAGCACGTGCCTACAAGTTAGTTATATGTCTGGAGGGCAGCTGCAGGCTGTCCAAAAGAAGTTGCATATGCAGCCAGCACATAAGGCCTGTGATCTGAGGTCTGGGTCTCAGGCTCAGACTGGCCTGAGGCTGACACCAGTAGGTATCCATTGGTCCCATACATTTGTGGCCCATATAACTGGGTGGTGTGTGTATGTCCTTGAGTTGACTGGGCTGTGAACGCCGCAGCCCTGCTGGCTTGCAGGTTGTCTGTAAGTACTGTAATCCATGGATGTTATGTTCTCTTCTTAGGAAGTCTCTTTTAATCTACCCTCCTCCTCCCAAGATGCCAGTGGTGGCCTTGGCACCATCGATGTGCATCTCAGGCCTTGCTGTGTGCATGAGCCACATGAAGACCTTGTTTCAAATGCAGACCCTGCCTCAGTAGATCTGAAGCAGCACTTGCTTATGAGGAACAAGTCTCTGGAGTTATTTCTGGAGGGATCATGCACTGACAAGTCCCCACTATGAATTTCTGAATTCTCTGAGGAAGAGCCGGTGCCTTGCTGGGCTCTGCATCCCCAGCAAGCAACAGAGGATGTGTCAGGGACAGCAGAGAGGAAAGGAACAGGCCTCCCTTCCTAGAACCAGGACAGTCTGTGCCAAGCCAAGACAGGGCTCAGTCACAATATCCAGTAAAGGACAACTTGAGAGTGATGTGACTTACAGAGGCAGCGGGAACGGTGTCAGGGAGAGGATGGGGCAGGTGGAGCGTGAGCTGCAGCAGGCGAGAGAATTCCCTCAACTCCAACGGCCCGAGAAGTCCTTCCTCGTGCCTCTTCCCACCCTTCCTCCTTTTCTCCTTCCTTTTGTACTATCTCTGACTCAGGACGACTTTATACTGTTTCTTTGGATTTTAGCAAAAGAAAACTTTGCTTCTTGGATGACTGTGTTCATTTCCCTCAACTGCACCATTTCTCTTCTACTCATTTGTCCATTTGTCCATCAGTCCATCCATACATACATCCATACACACATACACACATACACACACACATACATACATATACACACATACATACATCTATACATATGTACATCTATACATACATTCATACATACACACATACATACATACATACATACATCTGTCTCTGTCCCTCCACCTATGCACCCACCCACCCACCTATCCATTAACTATCCACTCATTCATCTACCTACCTTCTGTGTCTTCTCGCAGGTTCTCCAGATCCATCCACTCATGACATCATTCCTACTACAAGGCAGACTGATCTTCCCGTCCCTATTACCACAAAATACTCACCCAGTGACACAACTACGACCCGATCTGTACCCAAGTTCCCTGCTGTTGTTTCCTCTCCTGATCCTGGAGTCACCGACACAAATGGGACAGTTCCTGGCAGGTATGTTTCCTTGGCTCCTGGTTTGGACACCCTTCATCTCTTCGTCCTTTTGTTGAGAGGGTGTGGGGATGAGGGTGTGGGGATGAGGGTGTGGGGTGGATGGAGCAGGATCAGACATGAGTCACCTCTCAGTGTGTGTGGAGATCTGCAGAGAGGGAGGAGGTGACAGGCTGCGTAGGTGGCTTCTGTCCTCCCCAGCTCACCTTCCATGTTTTCTTGCATGTCAGAGTAGTAGGAGGATGGAAATGGCATTTTCGATGAAGGCTATTAGTCCTGCAAACCCGGATGTAGGGTGGATTCTCATGATTCTCGTGTCAGGTAGACTAGCTGCGTCTGTAACACTGGGTGAGCCAGGGACCCCTGTGACCCACCAGTTCC